GAAGCATTTCCTCCAGTGAACTGAAACCATCTAAGGGCAGGACCCCAACTTTTTCAGCTTTTCAGCACGAACATGCATTAGATACCTGTGGAACAGTGAACTCGTTACTGTTAGCCACGGTGTTTCAAGCCATCCTCCCTCCCACCTCACAGATCCTTAATCAGATCCTGCCCTAGAGTTAGAAGAGAGAAAAGGCCAGCAAGCCCACTTACTGCAAAGCTCACCACCTCATGACAAAGCCGCTGGCATTCCACCAGCCTCTGCTTCGGCACGGCCAGTGACAGGAAGTCCACTGCCACCAAGGCAGTCCGTTTTCTGGCAGCTGAAATTGAAAGTTGTTCCTCAAGTTGGGTCAAAATCTGTCACTGCTGTGGAAAGGGCACAGCCAAGGACAGAGCTCTTTTTACCTCACTAGAGAACTTCCAGGCTGACATCCAATCCACCCCCTCTCCAGTTCCAAAGCATAAATCTGTACCCTCATGTCACCAGTGTGGCCAGGTAGGCCCTGTTGCTTAGTGGTTAAAGGCACAGCCTGGGAGTGGGGCTCAGAAACCCGGCTCTGCCCTTGCTACCTGTGCGTACTGGGCAAGTTACCTACCGTGTGCAACTACAGTCATCTCATTGGGCACACGAAGATAAATGGGTGCCTCCCCGAGAAAGCTGTTATGAAGAGTAACCTGAAAGCTACATATTAAAGATTTTAGCTGAAAGTATCAGAAGTGTGCCTGGAGCTAGCTAAGTAAAAAGAAATCTGTGGCTTTTGTGTTAGCTGGACTTCAAGGAAAATGGAGCCCAGGAGCCTGAACACCTTCAGAAGTCCTCCTTAGTGTTACGCCTCTGCCTCTCTCTAAAACATGGGACTTCACTCTTTGGGGCAGGTTTCCTGGAACTATGGCCACTGGCAGAATTACCAAAAAGGAATCTGAAAATATCCAGAGGCAGAACTGTGCCCATTCTTGCAGTCTGGGGGTGGGTTATTATCCTTGCTGGCCACACTAGAACCCAAGGCAGTGTGGGGATGGGGAAGATCAATGTGTCAAAGGAGAGAGGGTGAGTTTTTCAGAAGACAGTGAAATGATTCCTAGGCAGACAAAATTACTGATGATCTCTGTGTAAGTGCTCATTAAATTGTACCTATGGGGTCACCTGGGTGGTGCAGTCGGTTAAGCACTGACTCTTGGTTTCAGCTCAAGTCATAATCTCATGGTCCTGGGATCCAGCCCCACATTGGGCTCCCTGCTCAGCGAGGAATCTGCTTGGGATTCTCTCTTCCTCTCCCTCTGCCCCTCCCACTTGTGTGCTCTCTCTCTCTCTCTCTAAAATAAATAAATCTTTTTAAGAAATTATATCTATGATATTATAAAAACCTTATCAAGAGTTTCTAGTTCAGATTCCACAAATCAGGTATACTATAAAAACAATTCAGGCAACCAACACAGAGTTCTTAACCTTTTATATTGCTAACTTAAAAACTTCTTTAAAGCCATAGCTACTACCACCATCATTTAATAGAGAATATATCTATAACGAGGAAGCTGGAAGAACAAAATCTCAGAATACAGGACAATCCTTCAAATCAGCTTAGCTCTGTGGACAAAAGCTGCATTTTTCCTAATTTTCTCAACTGGACCAAGGGCTGGTAAAAACTTCATCCAGATCTGATGCCAGCCAGATCCTGGAAAAGAGTAATATAGGTCACTATCTTCTCCCTTGTCCAAAGGCGTTGCTGTGATGCAGGCACACACTCCTCTAGCACTTTCCCCATCTGGCACAGAGCCAGGCACCCAGCTCAGGTGCTCAGGAACTGCTTCACCAGTCCAGCAGCTCTCCGAAAAAGATATGAGCATAGTCTGGGGTGCCTGGGTGGCTCAGTCGGTTAACTGTCCAATTCCTGATTTTGGCTCAGATCATGATCTCGGGGTTCTGAGATAAAGCCCCACATCAGGCTCCGTCCTGGGTGTGGAGCCTGCCTAAGATTCTCTCTCTCTCTCTCTCTGCCCTCCCCTCCAAAATATATGAACATAGCCTGGCAGTACTTGCCCTTAACAAATATATGCTGGAACATACACACACACACGTGTATTTGAAAATTCAAACTCTCCCTATTTTCAAAAGGATTGGGGTGATTTTACACATATACAACACAATCATTAAAAGAACAAGATTCCTGTAATGATGGGAAGATGAAGAGAAAGCCCAGGCAAAGCTAGCTGCCTTGACAGGACACTGTATCTCAATTCCAGGCTCAGATAATAATTCTCTTAAGAAGTGTGGCTCTGGGAGACAGCAGAGACACATGGCAGAAAGTAACAGTCTTCCGCTACTCAATCTGAGAGCTGGTCTGTCTGCCTGTGTGTATGGCTACGGTAACAATTCAAACTGGTGTTCTAGGGGTCCTTTCATTTGGTCAGACACTCAAGCAGCAGCTCAATGCACCGCACTAGACATCAGGTCCACAAAGCCGAATTAGACACAGCTTCTACCTCAAGGAGATTCATGAACCAGGCAAACTGAAAATTACTACCACAAAGCACAATCGGAATTAAATTACCAGTTTCTTCTATTTTCTTCACTTAATAAAAGACGAAGATCATTTTAAATTTAGTCTTGTTAAGTTCCAAAGGAACACACAGTAACTGCACACAATTCATTTCGTGTCTAATTTTCATCTGCTTGTAAAAGTTCAAACTTTGGGCAACTAAAGTAGGATATCCTTGAACCCAAGGCACTATGCCAAAGTATAACATGCAATACTATATCTCTGAACAATTACTTCTTGTTCCGTGTGCCTGTGTAAAGCCACAGCTGACTTGGCCAAGCTTCCTCTTGGTTTCTGACTATAAGTAAGGCAAGAACTATATTATTAAACCCTCTTAGTAAAAACCCTAACCTAGCCCAGGTCTTTAGATGACCAATGCCTCAATTACTTTCCACCTGTCTTCCAGATTTCACAGGTCGAGTAGTAGGACGCAGGCCAAAGGAGGAGCAACGGAGGTTCTGGTGGTAGTCAGACAGGTGGCTCAAGAGGGGAAGCAGGAAACAGAGACCAAAACGGGGTGGCCGGGTAGAAAGAAACTGGGGAGTGTATGGGAAGGCCAAGATGAGAAAGAAAAGAAGGAGTGAGGAAGGAAGGCAAAAGACACACTCATCCAGGATTGGCTAAATGTTTTGTAAGAAACAGGTTAGCTGCAAACAGAATCCAGCGTACCAGAGCCATCATGTTTGCATACCCAGAGCCAATGTAAGAAAAAGTAACACGGATCAGAGTATCTACATTTAGCTGCCCTTTCTAGGACTCACAAACCACTTACAGGCAGGAAATGAGTTCATACCTTCCCCAGAGAACTGTGACTTTTTAGTAGAAAGGTAAGTTTTTAGTTAATTCTGTAGTTCTTCCTGCTCACTGATATTTAGTAACTCTTTCATAAGCATATCTTAAATATAAAAGGCAATCCTAAAAAATCAAGCACTATCATTTATATCTAAGACCTGTGGTTTATTAACCCCAAATCATAATATCAGAAGAGGGAAATCAAGGCCTATGAACAGGGCCTATTCAGACAAAGTAAAGGAAGCCAAAGTTCAATAGCTCATAGGCACTCACTCAATTAAGATGAGTACTGTTTCCCACAGCTGACTTTTAAATGCCTGGAGTGACTAAGGCTAAAACAAGAGCATGCACAGGGAGCAAAGGTTACTTATTATTTCTATTGTTCACTCTCAGGAAAAGTACAAAGGATTATTTTAATACACACTGGTTGGATAAAAAACATTAACAAAATAAAGGCAAAATATTTATAACTAAGTTCCATGATAAAGTTGAAAACAATTTTTAAGAGTTAGCATCTATAATATTGAACCACAAGTTGATTGTAATGTTTGTTCCTACTTAACATTTAAAATTTGAAGCACAAAATAAAGTTTCCATATTCAATTACTACCTATAAAGTTCTAATCACTTTACTAGATTTAGCATCAAGTAATGACTAAGATTTTTAAATGTTGAAAGTAGCCGCACAAATTGGTATTTGATTAGATTTCAGGTTTAAAAAAACAGGCTTTCCTAGGTATCTGGCTACTCCACGCAAGAATCATATTAAACAACCAAATTTTCCTAATTATTACATAATTGTTATACAATTCAAAACACCAATTAAATAGTATTTTATATGCTTCAAAACTTAACTCCTATCTCTCACCAATTCCTACCTCTACCTCTTAAGGTGTTTCAAGGTAAATTTTGTTCTAAACCAGTGCTTCTCCACTGGGAGGAGATTTTGCTCCTGGACGCAAAAGACAAAAAATAAGTTTTGGCAACGTCTGGAGACATTTTGGTGGTCACACTAGGAGGTGGAGAAGGAGGTACTACTGGCATTTGGTGAGTAGAGGCCAAGGATACTGCTAAACGTCCTAAAATGCACGGGACAGTCCCTATACCAAAGGATTACTGGGCCCAAAATGTTTCGCAGAGCCTCTGTCATGAAACCCCATTCTAAACTGAAACAATCTGCAAACACAGCTGACACCTTCAAAAAAACAATTGCCAAGTAAGTAATTCAATGTTCACTAAGCTTTGTTATTGGTATAGCGATCCAAACATAATAAAAGTTGCTTTTCATACTACTAAAATGATGACCTATTAATCATTAATGCATGAAGTTGCAGACAAGAAGGGCAAAGAGTACTCTCACTACCTAACCAATTAATGATTGCTTCAAAAATGAACATTTCAGGAGACAAAAAAAGAAATGAGGTAGTGATATTCTTGAGAGCTTTCTAGGGTGCTTACATTTTCAAGGACAAACACCAAATTAATCACTACTTTTTGTTGCTGTTATTTAGTTCTAACCAAGTTTTTCTGTCATCTCAGTCGTTAGATTTTTAACCAGGTAAAGTTTAACGTAAATACAAGGGAGAAGTTAGCCACATAGTACTAGTTGGTAGAATAATCTCGGACCAAAACACATTCCTAAAGTATCTGTTGAAACTCTGATGTTTACCTGGCAAAAGGACTGGCTCCAGTTTTTTAATCTTCGGTTCCGAATTAATCTTATCGTCAGTCTGAAATACATCAGCAAAATAAATCAAGATCAAAACTTTTTCTCCCCCTGAGATATACGAAAGCAATTTTTGTTTTCTAAGTGATGACACATGCAACAGACACATATTTTCCCCGCCCCCTTAAAATCTTTCACGTTTTACCAGATCTTTTAAAGATCTCTTCATTATCAATTGGGAGTCTGACAAAAATATTAAAACGGCCTCTGCCGCTTCCAGGTGTTCACATTTATGACAGGTAACCTCCTCCACCAGATGCCCACAAGCGATGCAATCATGCTGGCGGCCACAGTGCAGACAACTGCTAGGCGAAGAACTAAATAAACCCAACTCCAAACACTCCCTTGAGTCTCATCACACGGCAAAACTACGGATCACAGGTCTCCGGGCTGAGAACGGCTGCGGCGAAGTTTTACAAGTTTCCACCGAGCCAGTGGGGGCTCCCGAGAAGGCGCTTTTCCCGGCGTCGGGCTCTGGCAATCGCGCGGCTGGGAACTGGGAGACCGGGGGAGCCTCCCGGGGGTCGGCCCGGCGGCTCCCAGGAAGCGCCAAGGAGAGGGGCGCTCGCGGGGAGGGGGTTGTTTACCTGGGGCGGCGGCAGGAGGTAGGACCTGAAGGTGGGTCTGGGAGGCCTGAGGGAGAACATGGTGTCGTCGCCTTTTCGCTCTGGCCGGGTCGCAACCCGGGACCCGCCGCCGGTCGGCGGTAGCGCCGACGCCTCCCGACGCCCGGGGGTTCGGAGGTGCCCGTGCGGCCGCCCAGGCCCCGTCTG